CTAAAGGAAATCGGGATGATTTTCCGAGTTAACATGAAGAACACAAACTTGAAACTACATTTTTATTAAACTCAACCCGGCATTCCCATAAGACACGTTGGAGAGCTTGACCATGTGGGTGACGCAGACGCTGATGCCAGACCACGGAAGAGGCACGAGTTGTGACGAACTCATAATGAGACCTTGGAACCACCAACGTGTACAATCCCCCCTCCCCCTCCACCCCCCCCCCCCCGAGCTAGGTCCTTTAAGAAGTACCGCCTGAGTTTTGCAGTCCTTCACAACAAAGAGCGTAGGGTGAAATTCAAAGAAACAATTATTATCTTTAGTGAAACGGTTAACAGATAACAACGATACAAATAGTTCAGGGACATGTAAATATTGGATAATTTTAGTGACTTCGAAATAGACGGAATTAACGCATGACCCACACACGAGATCGCCAAACCTGTGCCATTACCCACTCGGAGGACATCGCCGTCGTGATAGTCCTCAGAATGCGCGATCACGCCGGAATCCGGAGTGGCGTGCGTTGAAGCGCCGGTATCTGGTAACTACGTCGTGACCTCCAACGCTGCACCGCCTTCACCTGCAACGGCGACATGCGCCTGGGACGGTGGGGGCTCGGAATACTGCCAGTAACAGTAGACGGCCGTATGGCCTTGCAATCTACAGATTTGGCATCGCGGTGCACCTCCTCGGCCACGACCGCCCCGTCCACCGCGTTGATTTCCCCCACGCCCCTGTCCACCACGTGAGTGTCTGCCACCATCACCTTGATGTCGTCTGCCTTGTCCGGCGTATAACGTCGAGGGTGAGCCACTCGCCATTGCCGGCGGCCCAACCAGAAAATCATCCGCATGGATGAATTGCTGAGCTTGCAAATAATCCGCCAGCTGTGGGATCGACACTGGCGTGCGGTGACCGCCAAGGAAGCCGCCATCGCCCAGAACTCCGGCCGCAGACCCCGAAAAACATACAGATTCTGCTCCTCCAGCGTCATGTTGCGTCCGGCGAGTGCGAGGTCTTCAACCAAAAGCTGCGCTCGGCCAAGTACTCCGATGGGGTGCTATCTCCCTGCTGTAAGGACTGGAATTTCCCAGAAGGTTGAAACACCGTACCTGCGTTGATGATCCGAGCGTAGTCTCCGCCGCCTTCCACACGCCGCGAGAGGTCGTCTAACCAACGGCCAAGTACATGACCTCCTCGGACATGGAGGAGATGAGCAACGAAAGGATGGAGGCATCCTGTTGCACCCATGCGCCATACGCCGGGTTCGTCGCGGAGGAGAAGGCATCGTCGGAGTTGTCGCCAGCGGGGATCTCCAAGACCGACGATGGGCAAGGGTTTTCTCCATCTACGTACTCGAGTAGGCCCTGACCATGAAGGAACGGGATGATTTGTGTTCACCAAAAAAGGTAGTTTCGGTTGGTAAGCTTGAGTGACACAAAGTGGTGTGCACTGTTGAGGGAATTAGGGTTGGTGTTTGGGGAGGAGACAGTGGTGGTTGTGAGGGTGCGCTCAGAGGAGCTCTGCGACATCGTCGAAGGAGAGGAGAGAGAAAGTCGATTGGGGAGGAGAGAGGATGTCTACTGGCTAACTGACACCAGATGAGAGTGGAAGCTATTGATTCATTCACTAACAGTAATCAGGTACAATAATACAATCAGAATATAAAGTCCTAACTAATAGGCTTAAGACTAGATCAAACATACTAAGCTACATAATGTACATAACATAAATCATAATAATAACTAATTACTAATAAGTATTAGATTCAGATTCATGCAAAAAATTATGTGTTTGACATATAAAAGAGACTATGATAAGTATGGTCCATGTGTTGTTTGAAGTTTAGCAAAAAGTAATAAGTACGGGGATGGACATGTTGAACATATAATATACAAATATAAATATTTAGATAAATTTTTAGTTGAAATAAAACATATCATGAAACTTGCCAAAGAAACAATTCAATTAGGTGGGTTTTTAGTTAAAAATGATAATTATAGATTATTACATTATATTGGGGTGGGTTAAAATCGATTAAAGTACAAGTTAATACAAATTAGTTATAGACCTAATTGTAAGGTAGTACTCCGTAGTACATACTATGAATACGAATATTGAGGTTGAATGAATCAATTTTCATATAATACATTATTAATAAATTTTCAACCAATTTCTCGGAAGACAAATGTGACTAAGAAGGTGATGATGACAAAAATTAGAATTGTAATATTTGAGTACAATAATCATCATGTACTAGCCAACCATTTAAAGGTTATTTTAATGTTGTTTTAATGACATGAGAAACTCGCAATCTAATTCAATAGTATGTATTGGGTAAATCACGCTCCTACGTAATAAGACGCTAGAGGATAGACTAGTTACAATAAGAAAATCTTATATGACAAGCTCGATCAACTGATAAAGTATTGACAAGAATCGAATGTGGTCACCTCTTTCAGGAACATTTTAATTTATTATTGAATCATACATAAAATGCTCGAATTGACCATACTTCAACTCGATTCTTTTACCATAGAATTTGCAATGCAAACAAAAATTCCTTGACAAACTTAATAGAAAAACTAATTATGTTAATAAACAAAAAATTTTAATATATATATATATATATATATATATATATATACTGAAAATATTGGGAATTAAAAAAAAATCGACTTATATTTTCTTTTGAATGCTACAAATCGACTTATATTTAATAATTAACACAACTTATACAAAAAATTATATAAATATATTTCTGTTACTTTTTATTTTTAATAATTTTACAATCAATACTATAGAATTTATTGTAAACTAAATAAGGAAATTTACAAATACTATAATTACAATATTGTGTATTTTGTAAAGATGTACTATGTATGTCTTTGGAAAGTAATACTATTTGTATGTTGACTTTGCCAACACTCTCTCAATCAATCACGTCGTATATGATATTTTTATTTCTAATACAATTTATTTCTTTTGTGTGATTTGTCAATCCAGCACAGCTTACCCAATACACATCTTCAAATAGTGATGACAGGAAATCCCATGCCACAAACAAAGTATAATATACAACTTTACAAAACATTCCTAATTGTGACATTGTAAAATACCCCACTATAACTATTTACGGAGTACAATTTATTTATATATTATTAAAAAAAAAAACCTAAGACAACACAAATGTCGGCAACACACAACTAAACTAACGGCCTTTGTCGACATCACGTATACAAAGATTGATGATCTTTTCCGCCGCCTCAGTTTCGTCCCTGCTCTCTACGATCACCTTCTCCACCTGAGCTTTGGGCAGCCTCAACTTGATCTGAACCGGCCCCCATTCCCTTCTCACCGCCGGCGACACATCGGAAGTCGACCTTCGCATCTTCATGAGCGCTTCTAGCCGGTCCGTGGCGCTCATGTGAACGCCAGACCTCATCCGTCTCGGCACTCTTTCGCCGTGATGAGGAAACTTGGGCAATTCCACCAGAAAGTAAATCTTTTTCGGCTTCAGTTCTTGCGCCGCCTCCAATGGCGTCGCTCTTACCCCAAACCTCTTCACCGTTTCTGAGTCCAACAAGACATGCCCAGGATAATCCTTAACAACATCGAACGCTGACACCGGCGTTTTCAGCTTCAAGGTTTCGCCGTCGATCTTCATCACCTTTGCTTTCTTTCTCCCTCCTATGGCGTTCCCCATTCTTTCAGTTCTGCATATGAATGTGTGACAGGGAATGTATTTAACAAGTGGTGGGTGCAAGCATGCTTGGGTACACCAGCAAATCATATAAATAAACTGTCTATCAATCTAATAGTACAATAAATATATATATATATATATATATATATATATATATATATATATATATATTTTCCGCACACAGATATCTCAATTACTTTCTAATAGTAGATTGTAAATAAAAACATAAGATAGTCTTGACGGTCTAAACCTGAGAGTTGCACCTAATTAATGTAGTAGACTTTTTATGAACACTGACACTAGTCTTCCCACCTAATAGGTCACTAAGTCACCCTAATTTACTTACTTACCCTTCCATTATCTTATCAGGTTAGGACCAGAGAAATTTTGGGCCAACTACACTATATATATCAGCTCAAATAATGCGGCCAATCTTAACATGCCATCGGTGCGTGGCGCACCATTAGGTAGGTAAAAACGCACCAATAGACCAATAGTGTTAGAAAACGCACAACAATAAAATGCACCAATGAACCACAAAACGCAACACACTTAAAAAATGCACCATACCTCCTCACACCTAATTGTGCGTCTCTAACACAGTGTGATGCGTTTATGCATACCTAATGGTGTGATTTTTATGCATTGGTGCATTTTTTTGTTGTGCGTTTCCTAATACTATTGATGCCTGTTTGCATACTTAATGGTGTGGCTGCACTGACCGCGCTCGTTAAGGTTTGACCGCATTGGAACTTGGCCCCTCTCTCTATGTATATATATATATACATACATACATATATATATATATATATATATATATATATATATATATATATATATATATAGTTCTCACAGTAATATTGTGTGAATATGTGAATTCAAGGAAGATTCCCACTGAAACGACAGTGGTGAATAAGATAATGAATGGGAAAAGGGAAATCCAAATCCATCACGACAAAATTCTTTCTAGAAGCAAAGGTAGCCGACTATATATGAATTTCTTGTCAACTCTTCTATAATCTCTTTCAAGAAAGCAATGCCAAATAGGCAATGGATATAAAGGGGTGGTGGGACACTGAGGCTACACCCTGTTTGTATGATTGGACAAGAAATGTGTTTTCTGAATATATATATAAACATAAAACATGGTCTCAAAAACATGCCTGTAAGCAGATAAGTACATGGACAAACTTTACTCGAAGGCATTTATAAATTATTCATCTTTTCATTGTCAAAGGTGAAGTAAACATCTTTGATAGTTAACCATGGAATATGGTCAAGAAAATGAAAATATCTGAGTACTGTTGCATAATAACGACTGTAATTCTGGAAAAATAATGCATTTATGTCTACAAACTAAAGCTCCTATCGACATACATCGATTCTTGTACTCTACTTCACAGATTGATAAGCTTTGCCTCGCTTTCCCTTACCTACTCTGTTCTTGATTGTGCTCTCTGAAATGATTTGTGTCCATTCCTTGTGCAGTGGGAAAATCAAGCAATACCCACATTTCCACCTCGAGATCCATATTGAAGTATTTCCACCTAAAACGCGAGAGCGACACTGTTGCTTCTTGTCTTCTTGATATCTATTCAGACTTTTAGTTTAGCCGAAACATATACTTTAATTGTTGAGTCACACTATGAACTGAACAGCAATTAAAACCAGATTTATATGAGGGGTATAAACTGCATAAGTATTTTCAAAGTATGCTGTTATATATAGCAGCAGTTTATAAGTAAACTGCCCCTGCACAGTGAGCGACTGCGTGATCTAGGACTGAATTTTAACTAGTTTGTTCTATTCTGCTAAAAGCAAGTTTCAGAAGCATTGAGTTAACTTACACTCATTACCTAAGCTGCACGAGTCTTATTTTGCAGTCATCATTATCATTGTAAAAGTTATGTAGTGAAACGTCTGGCTGCACAAGAAATGAAATAGCATGAGAAAACTAGAAGCATTAATAGTGTGGGTAAGCAAAAAGGTGTATCGGTTGCCCAAGAAGGCATCAAGTTTGATTCCAACGTCCTCTTCAGCTTGAGCAAAGATTAAGTATTCCGATCTGGCCTTAGAATATTAACTACAGTTAATCCACCTCATCCTGCAACTCTTGCCGTAACCAGCCAAGCTGAATGCCCATAGAGAATTTCTATAAAAGAATGGTTAGTATCATTGCTGGAAAAAAAAAAATCAAGAAAAATGAAAAGGAGAAAGGAGCCCTACCAACCAGCTTTAAGGATGGTATTCCAATCCTGAATTCTGACCTTGATTCATCCAAGATTGTTTGTTTATGTACTCTCTATAACAATTTTTTCTTGAATCCATAGATCACCACCATTCCTGTAATCCTGCTGTGTCTAACACTGGCCCCCTATTTTGTTATAGTGCAATTTAAATATGAAGACATGTTCCTTTATCACTAAATGATAAACAGCACAAACCATATTACATTCATCATAGTGATCAGCATTTGAATGAGTTGCAAATAGAGGAAACTCGAAGTTATTCAGTTGTCTAAAGGATTTGCATATAATAATGAGGTGAAATTTTCTGAAAAGGATTCTATTACAATATTTATTGGATACACATGAATAAGTTAATCTAACATCTTATTTCAGTATTAAATGTATGAATATAAGAGAGTATGAGAAGGGTGTTAATTACAGTCTACAAAATTCAGAAGGCGAAGCAGCATCGGGCTTCCCATTGTCCTCCAAGCCTCCGGGATGCTGCAAATTCTGCAAAACTTGATGAGGCAATGTGCCCAATCCATCATTCGCAACTCCAAAGAATTGGCACATGAGTCGAGTCATGACGCCCAGAATCTGCATTTGATTCTGGCAAGCGTCAGCATGCATTTGCATCATTTGCTTCTCGTGCTCGAGCTGCATACTAACCAATCGCTCCCTCCACTCCATCTCTTCCTCCTCCCACTTCTCCTCTAACTTGATTCGCCGCTGCCTCTCCTCTGCAAGTTCCCTCTCGAGCCTCAATCTTGTCTCCAGTTCCTTCTTTGTCCACATCATCTGTCTCTCTTCCATTTTCAGTTCCCTCATCTCCCACTCACTCTCCTTCTCCTCTTCATGTCTTTCTCTCTGTAATTCTGTGTCTCTCCTTCTATGCTCTCTCTCCATCATCTCCTCTTCCCTACTCCAATCTCTCTCCCTCCTCTTCTCCTCCCTCCTCAACACCACATCCCTCAAATTCAATAGCCTAGCACCCACCATTCTGAATCTCTTTTGTGAAATTCCCTTCTTCAATTTCTTCCCCTCAGAATCACCAACTCTCTCGCCATTTCCCAATTCAGCTTCCTCACTGGTTCCCACGTCATCGCCCAACTCCTCCTCGTCTTCGTCTTCTTCCTCCTCTTCCGATTCTTCACTGTCAATCCCAAACCCTAACCCTAACCCTAGCATCCCTCCATCAGCAAACGGGTCATCGCCGAACTTCTTACTGCAATTAAAATTGCAATCCTTGATCTCCAACTCCACATCCCCAAACACTTCCTTGTACTTCATGAAATTCTCCCAGTGGTTCTCGCCATCCTTCCAATTGAACTCATTGTTCGGTGTCCGGATCTTCTGCTTCACTCCCAGGTACTGGTGCCGCATGTTCTGGACCTTGATGGAGACGTCGCGCCAGGACCACTTGAAGGGGAAGAGAACCGGGTCATGGAGGTGGTGCACCGCGTTCACGTGCTCGGCGATGGGCTTGAACTTCTTCTCCCTCGTCTTCAGCTTCAACAGAGCTCCAGAATTCAGCAGTTCTGCGTACTTGCTCAGTAGAGTTTGCTCCTCCACCTCCGACCATTTCTTCCGTTTCATTTTGCGATGACCGGAGATTCTGATATTTCTCGGCGATGAATAATACGATTTGCCCGGAATCTGAAAGGTCCTGGATTTGGGGGAGGATTGTCGGGAAGTTGGATGTGTAATTATTTTTCTTCTTTTACTACGGAAAACTTCCGTATTTTGTATGTATGTATGGAACCATTTTACTGTTCGAGTGGAATATGTGGTGGTTGAATCATTTTGTTCATATTTGTATCTAGTTTGTTAAATGATTTGCAAATTAAAGGATTTTGTTCATATTTGTACCTTTTTTTTAAATAACCGGACCGATTGTATTAATTAATCATCGAAGCAATAGAGTCATGAGGGATAGCATCCCAGTACATAGAGTTATCCTGAGTAAAAGCTAACGAAACTAATGTATGTGCATGTAAATTAAGCTGTCTAGAAATAAAACGGATAGAACAATAAGTAAATAAAGCCATAGATAGTCTACAATGGTCTATCATGACTCCAGCATAGGATAATATAGTCGATGAGGTGTGATGTAAAATGCTGCGCAACTCGGAACAATATGTAAGAAGATCAACCATCATAATATTCTTCTTCCTTAACCAAGACAAAGCTTCCTTACAAGCTGCGGCCTCTGCCATAAGCGGTGAGAAACAAACTGGCAAACTGTCATTTGTTGCTGCAATGAATGTCCCGTCCGCTGCTAATAAAATTGCTCCGTATGTGGCTTCGCCAGTCATTGGCTTGAAACCAGCGTCGATGAAGCACCGTGGGCGTGTATGTGACGGCGTGGGTGATGCAGCCGTATGGTTCCGGCTGGGGGTTGTCGGGTGGCTTTGATCGTAGGCGTGCAGAGCTGCCACGGCATGCCGGCGCACGGATGTTGGGTGCAGGAGCGAATGTTCCCATACCGCCGTATTTCGGGTCTTCCACAGATGATATAGCACAGCCAACACCAAACAAAACTGCTCTTATGTTAAAACTGTCAATACACCCATAATCCATGAGGGAAAAGAGTCCGTAACAACATTCATAACGGGTAAGCATGTAACATCCCATACAAGTCTAGAATAATTGCAAAGAACTAATGCATGCATAATATTCTCATGAGCCAAACCAACACATTGCATGTTGGTTCTACTTCTACCCTCTTTAAAATCAAATTGTTCGTGGTAGGGAGGATATCACAAATTGCCCTCCACAAAAAATTTTTCTACTTGGGTGGAATCCTTAATTTCCATATAGTTGCCCATTTATCAAAAGCACCTGGGGCATATGCATAGTCACCAACCAGCTTCCTGTAGGCATTCTTTACTGAATATACTCCCCTAGGATCACCCAACCAATACTATGAGTTCTCATAATCTGGGCTCACATGGATCATCAATATTCTGTTCACATCTTCTGGGATAAATATATCTGATAGGATATGTGGATCCCATGTATTTGTTTGTTGATCAATCAGTCCAGCAACGGGCGCTTCTCTTAGTTGTATAGGCATTTCTGTCTGAACCAAAGGGCTTGGGTCATCAGGCAACCAGGGATGTCCCATATCAAAATTGATTTTCCATTACCCACCCTTCGCCTTACACCAGACACAATAATATCATGTGCTGGCATAATACTTCTCCAGCAATAACTAGGACAATTTCCAATGGTTGCATCCACAAAAGAGGCTACGGTGATTAAACAGTGCCTGAATCGTTATGAGAGTTTGTCTGGTCAAAAGGTAAATTTTCATAAGTCTAATATCTGTTTTAGCAGAAATACGCAGGAGGCCGAAAGATTGGCGGTGGCAGATTGCCTGCAGGTTGACCAAGCCCCAAATTTTGAAAAATACCTGGGTCTTCCTTCGTTTGTGGGAAGAAATAAGAAGGCAGCTTGCTTATGTGGAGGACAAGATCAGGCAAAGGATAGGGTCATGGAATAAAAAACTGCTATCACAGGCTGGTAAAGAAGTCTTGTTAAAAAGTGTGGCACAGGCAATGCCTACTTTCACAATGGGCATATTTCTCTTGCCAGACTCAGTCACTTTGTCCATTGAGAGAACTATGAATAGATATTGGTGGGGCAGTGGAACGGACAGGAGAATCCACTGGAAAGCTTGAGATAAGCTGTGTGTTCCCAAGAATTATGGTGGTCTGGGTTTTAAGGATCTACGGAAATTTAATTTGGTGATGTTAGGAAAACATGACTGGCGGTTTCTAACTAATCCAAACACTTTGGTAGCAAAAGTTTATAAGGCACGGTATTATCCGAATACCTCTTTCGTTCATATTTGTACCTAGTTTGTTAAATAATTTGCAAACTAAACTATTCACTAATTAGTTTGAATTTTGAAAGTCTATTTTCAAGTTGTATTGAATGATTTTCTTTTCCTCTTTTTTTTTTTTTTTTTTTTTTTTTTTTGAGTACTATTGACATGAAACTTCTCATTTGAGAAGTCGCAGCTATACCGTTCAATTACAAAACCTTTGACATTTTCTCATTTTTTTTTAATTTATAATTAAATATTGTCACGTGCGATTCACAATCGAAACTTATATAAATAAATATGAAATATTTTTGTAATATTTATAATAAAAGAAAAAGAATAATATAATATAGTTTATATGTACAATTACTAAAACCTAACGTTTGATTTAATGTTATTATTAAAAAATAAATTACAAACTTAGGTACAGAACCATACAAGAGAAGGAAGAGAAGAAGAGGAAACTCAGAAAAATTCAGAAAATTGTTCAAAAATCACATTCTCACTAGATAATTCATAATTGTACGTTGTATATACATATACATAATGGGGAATTTGAAAGAAGGATATCATAAATGCATTATAATGATCATAATATCATATATATATTTACAATAAATTATAAATTTTGACAAAACAACACTTTATATATATGAGTTAAAATCCACTTTGCAAAGTAGATCCTAGTTCATAATATAATTTGCAGGAGTGCAATGACAAGGGGTGGGTATATGTCTTTACCCCGTGCTCCATTGCTATCCTAGGGTCCCTTTGGAAAGTAGAAAAATGACTTCTAGAAAATGTTTTCTGAAAAATGAGTCATTTTTCAGAAAACATTTTCATTTCCGGTGTTTAGTTGCACAACAGAAAATTGTCTTTGTGTGTTTGGTTCGTTTTCCAAAAAAGAGTAGGAAAATGAAAAATTCAAAAGAAAATAATATTCATTTCTTCCCAATAATATTCATTAAACACTAAATAATAAGTAATCCATTACAATAATTATAAACATAATATTTGACAACTGTCCAGACTTCATCTTCCCAGAAATTGACTTCATTTCTTCCAAAAAATTGATTTCTGGTGGGTGGTTAACAACATGAATTCTTCATCTCCGTCTCTCTTTCTTCATTTCTTCATTTCTTCCCAGAAATTCATTTCTTCATCTCTGTCTCTCTTTCTTTATTCTCGCAGATTAACAGCAGATCCGGCGGCGAATTTCTTCATCTTCATTTCTCTTTCTTTTTTCTAGACCAGCAGCGATGGTGGCTAGCGGCGGTGACCGGACGCAGTGGTTGGGTAGAGCAACGGCGGACCTGGGTTTCTTCCTCTCCGGTGAGTTCTCCGTCTCCGGCGTAATCTTTGCAGCGGCGAGCAACAATGGCATCTCTCTCATTCGACACACAAATCATCTCCGGCAGTGCAAGCAGTCCAATGGCATCTCCTGTT